CGGGCCGGGCTGGCCGATGCTGCCCTCCCCGCCCCTGCCAGAGCCCAGCGTCCCCCAGCCAGGCCCCCTGGTGCCTGCGCCTGCTTGCTCATAAACACACTGTGCTACCACAGCTGAGCAGCGCATTGTCACCGCGTTCTGATTAGGCCTGCGGCAAGCAGTGCACATCCCAGGACAGAAGGCGGTCGAGGCCTCCACACCGAAAGGCTAAGTCTGGACACGTCAAGCTCCTAGCAGGAGGGTCTGGGTCTGCTAGCCAGTTCCAACCAGATGGAGCAAGTGGGACTGCCCTTCCCAACAGAACCCGTTCTCACTGTCCCCGAAGCAATTCCTGCCGCAGGTCTCAGGCACAGACAGGTGTCTGTGGGGAGGGCTGGCCTGCTGCCCTGGGCTCCTGTGCCCTGGGGGGGCCCTGGCCCGAAAGCAAGCCTGCATCTCTCGGTGCCTCCTGCCTGGAGTCCACGCCTCGCGCTCAGACTCGGCTGGAGGTTTGCTTTCTCCTGATGCTTCAACCTCTCGCCATCGCTGCCTGGGCCTGCTTAACTCTGCTTGGCTGCTAAACACAAGCAGGGAACACAGGAGACCAGGAGAGGAGGCCCTCTCTGGAAAGCGAGGCGTGGAGAGGTACCAGAGGGCTGCAGGGGCTGCCCACGCAGGCGGCTGAGGGCACCAGTGCCACTGCTACCCTGGAGATCCCGCAGTCAGAAGCTGGGCGTTCATTTCTCCCCTCACATTCCAAGTTGCATTTTCCATTTAAATTCTGGGTGAGGAGTTTAACGAGCAGACACGGCATGAAGACACGGCCGGTATTCCTGTCTTCTCTTTCCTCTAGTAAGAGTAAGAGCTTTATGATGCAGTCATTTACGTGAAATAAGATTGGAATGTGAAACACGCACGTTGCAGACCAACCCTCCTACAGGCGCTACACATCCGTGCTGGGGCTGGGGTTGCAGCTCCACCGCAGCGCTGGCCTAGCACACCAGAGGGCTGAGTTCTGCCCCATCTGTAAAATAAGAGATCCACTCGGACTGGTGAACGGGCACCGCCAGTGTGCCGGGCTGGCAGGCGATCGGACCACAGGGCCCTTGGGGTTCAGGCCCGGCTTGTCTGTCTGTCCTGGTTGGTCTGGTCACTGTCCAGCCCAACAGTGTGTCACACACGTTAGAGCTCAGGCAGGGGCAGCACGAGAAGCAGCTCGAGGAACACTCCTGGAAGTCTGATGTCGTAGCTCCCGCTTCATTCCTGACTTCTGGTCCCTGACCCCGCTCAAAGGAGCCAGATCTCCCGCGCGAGATCAGTCATTTCTTGGCTACTTTGCTAAGCAGCAGATGGACCCAAAAGTCTGGACGTGAAACTTCACTAAGCTTGCAGAGCATACCTGAGTTTAGGCCCCGCCTGCTCCCCGACTTCAGTGGAAGAAGCTGGCCTGAGCCCTGGCCTCTGCCCTTGCACTGGCATCAGCACACTTTGGGGTGCAGCCTGCTTCCCGAGGGTTCAGGCGTGCTGCACGGGGAACACAGCTCAGAGGGGCTCGTACTTAAAGGCTTGCGCCAGCACAATGTATTCTTGTGCTGCTTGCTCACTGTGGGGAGCTAAGAACAACTCCACTTTGTCAAGGGCTGAACATGAAAAAGGCATTGTTGGAGTGCGGCGGGGTTGGGCCAGTGTTCCCTAGGGCTGCGAGCAGCGTTATCCACAAAGAGGCCTGATCTCAGAGGAGTGTCTGCAGCGCCCTGCAGTTGGCATGCAGGGCTCTCCTCGAACCCCGCCTCTCCGCGAGAGGCCTGATCTCAGAGGAGTGTCTGCAGCGCCCTACACTTGGCATGCAGGGCTCTCCTCGCACCCCGCCTCTCCGCGCAGGCCTGATCTCAGAGGAGTGTCTGCAGCGCCCTGCACTTGGCATGCAGGGCTCTCCTCGCACCCCGCCTCTCCACGCAGGCCTGATCTCAGAGGAGTGTCTGCAGCGCCCTGCAGTTGGCATGCAGGGCTCTCCTCGCACCCCGCCTCTCCGCGCAGGCCTCACCATCAGCCCACAGCAAGGGTGAGGAAGGGACAGCTGCGATGGACGCATCACATATGTGGGCACAGCCGCCCCGGGACGGATTCGCAGGGACAGGACCTCTCTGGGCCTCAGCAGCCAGAGGCTCAAGCGGGCTTGCAGGGCGAGGAGGCAGAAGAGCCCACGGAAGCGGGTAGCTAAGGACAGCAATGACAGTGCTTCTTTTACTGCAAGCATTTTCTCTCCACTTAAATATTCACCGTAACTTGAGACCACAGCTTGTACTCTGCCCTAGTTCTTGTGCCATATGACAAAGTCGTGTCATATGTACATTAAATGTGCCAATTTTTTTTAGGACACCAAGGCCAGGGCAGGCCAAAGAGGCAGATGCGTGCCACATCCCACGTCCTGCTCTTGGCCTGACCCAAACAAGCAGATGAGAACCGGCAGGAAGCGCAGGGTCTGGAGGGACAAAGGGGCAGGGCAGCAGGGATGGTAAGATGCGGACAAGCACAAACCTCATAAAAGAATCTTTCTCCTTCCTTCTTCTGCTCAGGGAAGGGCAAGCCAAGTGTGGGACAGAGACGGGACACATTACAGACACAGCACACGACACGTTTGGACACAGCTTTCTCGATGTGGAAAATAAACTGCTACCACATGAAAACACTCATGCCACAAAGCATATTTCAGAACAAACTTCAAAACTGGCATTATAAAACACAATAAAAAAATCTATAATGTGTGGCACATTGCAAGTCACTAGCACACACACATATACATAACTGTGTGCACACAAGCACACACACACACACACGAGCAAAAGCCCTCTTCTGTCTTGGCTCTCACTTCTGCTTGCTGGAGCATGCTGTGGAAGATGACAATTCTCTGACCTGCTAGACGGACCCGAGAGCCTTGGCGCTTCCAGTTCCTCAATCAGCCACATAAACCCGGTTGAGATAGCTGCTGGTGACCCTAAGCAGGCTCCGGTGACCGCAGAAGAGAAGCCAGACTCACCTCTTTACCTCCCATGGACTCGAACATCTTTTCCAGCTGGACGCGCAACTGTTGGATGTTGTTCATCAAGATGCAGGGCTTACACAAAGAAAGGAAGAGGCACTGTGAACATCCCGTAGGTAAGCAGTTACCGAAAAGAGATGTTGGTGATTTAAAAGAGAGAGCGGACACCTGCCACTGATGTCCAGTCATATTTGGCAAATATAATAACTCTGCTGCCTGATATGGTTTTTAACAGCTAAGAGAAGAAAAGAAAAATGTAACAATCATTTTAAAGGATGGAAGCGAGTAACGTCCTCACACAATAAGCCATCAAAGACCAGCGCCCAAGTGTCTTCTATCCATAACCTTGTGGCATTTCATGCTTAGAATCAACCACATTTTGTTTTTAAAATTTTATTTTTGGAAAAAACAGGTCAGTTTAAAATCTTTTGTAATTTCACTATTTTAAAACCAAAACAGAAGCTGCATTTTACATGCAAGGCAATGGTTAAAGTTTGACAAAAATGCCCTCAGTGGACTGCCCTGCTGCCCACACAGCCCACACTGTGGCCTCCAAGTCACTGTGTGACTGGCTCTGGCCTCCCTGCCCATTTTTCTCTGCCTGCTTCAGTCATATCTATCACTTGGGTCAGGGCTTTCTTTCCTAGATTTCTTCTTTTTTATCACTCGCTTGGCATTTGTGTTTATCACTTCATATTTGGGCTACTGAAGCTGTTTCCAGCAAGCTGCCAGCTCACTGTAAATGCACCACCCTCGCTGCAGGTCTCTCCTGCCCCCACAGGCTCCCAGCACACTTTACACACCATAGATGCTTCAAAGACACTTCTCACCTTGTTTCCAAAGAGGCAGAAACATAACAGTGACAAAGATGTGGAACTCTATGTCAGGGTCAGACATGCTGTCAGGTTAGTGGAAATGAATTTCTTAGTAGGAAATAGAATTTGCAATTGACAAAAAGTCATTTAATTGCACGTTGATTCCAAAGAGCCAGGGGTTGGACAGGGAGGCAAGAGACAGAAAGGGGGATGGGCACAGCTTCTAGGTGTTGGGAAGTGGGGTGAGGCAACACCCCATGGGCTGCTGGAGAGGGGCCAGCTCTCGCCTGGAGACTTCACTATTGCTTGAATGTGTTACTGACCTTTGAAGGACTTTCTACTTGATGCTTAAAGTTACCACCTCCTCACTCTGATCTATGGACATAATGTAGGAAGTCTGTTCTGTTCCCTTTCTCCTGCCACCTTTCTTCTTATGGTAACTGAGGTTCACCCTGGGAACGCTAGTCCCAGCCACAGTGGGAGCTCCTCGGTCCAGGCTTCCTCCTGGCCATAGCAGGAGTGGACATTTTCAAACCTCCTGGGGCCTTGGCATCCTGGCTCCGAGGCCGCAGACCAAGCCAGCGGACTACCCTTCCACTACAGCTTTATACTCACACACACAGCCTTTCTCTTCCCTTTCAGAAGGGGATGATTTGGCTTGCTAAGGGGATCCCTGCAGAAGGAGTCAGCAAGCAGAGCGAGGGCCGGGCTCTGGGGAGGGTTTCCTCCCTTACACTGAGGACAAAGCCAACTTGGCATTCAAGGCCACCTGCCTTGGCACACAGGACGGGACTCTAGGACCAGCTTCATCAATAAAGGTCAACCATAGCCTGCTGAGGTCTTCTTAATAAAGCCAGTTCTGGTAAGAAAAGTCTGCCAGGCACTGAGCGTGCAGACGTGTGCTCACTGGGCTTGGCCAGCTCCGACGCAGCCACAGAGAAGGGAGGCGCAGCCGGCAGAGGGTGAAGGCACACGCGAGGTCTCCCCCTCCCTGGCTCTTCCAACCCTGAAATGTCCAAAGTTCAATTTCATTAAACCAGTTTCTCAAATCACCAGTGACAACTAGATTGCACAAATCTACCTTAAATCTAATCAGGAGAGAGCTTTACTTTACACAACCTCAGCGTAAATGAACAAAGCAAAAGGAATTCAGAGTTGAGGGAACATTCACCTAATTCAGGGCCTCACTGCTGAAGGCCTTGGCGAGGCGGCCCAAGCTCGGCTTGAAGTCAAGGTGCGTCTTGTCATGTGTACATTTTGACCTGGCTCATAATATCTTAGAACATTTTATTAGACCTTTATCTGGAACAGCTTTTTTTAAAGATACTTTATTTATTTTTTGTATTACAAATATTAGGAAAGTTAATTTTGTTTAAACTAGGATCATTTCTTCAGAGGGGAAGTGTGTTGAGGGTGAAATTAAAAAATATTCAAAATAAAGTAATTCTGAATTAGATAATTATGACTTGATACTTTTCGGCATGTTGGGATCAAATGGATAAAGCCATTTCGTTCTGTCTCCCATTTAGCATGCCACGGCAGAAAGACATTATGCTGAACTACAGTCTTTAATTCTGACCCTTGGCAAATCCAGTGTTATGGTCTTCTGTTAGACAGTTTCTGACTATAAAAGCTTCGCGCCTGATTCGCAGATGAGATAGATATATCATCAGCATATGCCGCGAGCTGCACAACCAATTTCTAAGGTGCTGACACAGAAGTGAGGCGGTGACCACTGCTCCGCACCCACATAGGTGCGGAAGGTCACCCCTCAGCAGGGGACACACGCACAGCAGCCAGCTGACCTGCGCCGTTCCTGGGACTTAGGCTGATCTCTGTGGGGAAGCAGTGATATTCAAGGCTGGTCGAGGTACCAACTATTAGAGAGGGGAGGCCGAAGAGAGGCTCAGCGCCCTACAACAGCGAAGGTTTTTTAACTACATGTACGAAGTTGCGCAAAGTACAAAACATACAGGAAATTATGGAGAGTAATATAACAAATTCTGGAGTACAATTTTCATCTCAGGGTTTTATTTTTTAAAAAATTATTTATTTATTCATTTATTTTGGTGGTACCAGGGATTGAACTCAGAATCTTGCCCTTGCCAGATAAGCACCATCTCAGGGTTCTAATGTAAAACGCGGTGCAGACTGTTAGCCGCAGGGCTGAAGTCTGCAGAGGCTCCAAAAGCGACTTTTCCTTTCTAAGCATCAGATCAACCGTAGTGCCTCAAGCCACCTCTCAGATCTTCATTTTGCTGTCCTAATACAGAAAGAGTCCTTCCTGAGGCCGCGGGGCATTGTTTTCACTTTGATTCAACAGTCACACGTATCACCACCCTTTGTCTCTTAGTTAGGAATACATGCTCCCATGTATAATTTTGCTCTCTCACTTTTGGAGTATTTCCAGGCAACGGCAATTAGAAATCGCTCTCGACGTCTGGGGCCTGTGGTAAGACTCCAGGCAGCACACTAATTTAAGAGGAAGGGAAGGAGCGGGGTGTGGGCAGAGGTGGGTAGGCTTCGACAAGACTAGTGGCTCCCTTGGAATACTCCTCTAGAGTGGCCCGAAAGTGAGGGCTGAGGGTTTTTTTCTTTAATGTATTTGGTACACGGTTTACAGGGTCTCACTATGTAGCTCGGACTCGTAGTGATTCTCCCGTTTTCAGCTTCCCAAGTGCTGGGATTATAGGTATGCGCCACCACACCCAGTTTCAATTGCCGTCTCAGTGTGCCCTGGGGGCAGGGCAAACTATGCCAGGGATTGAACCCTGGCTGCTGCGCTCTGCCTAAGCAGGCACTGATTGATTTCTTAAATGAAAGAGAAAACCACGCTTTCATTTAAGCATCCTGTACTCACTATTTAACCACTTTGTCTTAATACAGCTCTTTTAAAGTGATTCCTACCCTGTTGCCGACATCCTTCTCGAGGTACTGCCAATGGTAGATAAGAAAGCTTCCGCCTTCCATCGTAACAGTAACAGCCTGTCCCACGAATGGGCCTGTTCTGTCTGAACACCTCCGCACCATCCGAAGCCCTTTGTTACCTGGCTTGTTTACCTTGCTTCTCTTTATCCCTTTATTGAGTGAGATACAACACTGGCTTGGATTTTATAAATATTAAATTAGCCATGCACGGTGAGAGTCAGCATCGTTCCATTTACAGACCATCCTTTTCAATTTATTTGAAAATTGGAAGACTAAAGGCGCCTACACCAGTGGTGGCACCGCAGGGAAGCTGTGGCGTCGTCGCCCTCATCTCGCTTCTCGCCTAGCCCTCAGCTCCAGTGCTTCCTCGGCCTGAGGAATCTCATCCTACTCCGCATCCAAATGCAAAAACATAAATCAGCTGCTGTCACAAGTCCCTCAGCCTTCCTGTGAGTCCTACACTGACACGAATTCATGGCCACTAGGAAACAACTGCTATACTTCAAATTCTTGCCATTCTTATTTCTGATCTTTTTATGCGAACAGAAATAAGCAGCTCCTCTTGCCTACCCTGAGTTGGCAGAAGTAGATCCCAATGGGGGAAGGCTGGGGAAGGCTGACGAAGGCAGAGCCAGCTGTACTCACCACGTTCTCCTTGCCGCAGTATGAGCTGAAGTCGCTGGACACAATCGCAGCGTACTGGACCAGCACCTTGTTGATGGTCTGCGGAAGAGAACATCGGGGAGTTCAGCCGTGAGTGCGCAGCTGTCCCCGTGTGCTGCCCAGCGAGTGTGTGGTCAGGAGACCTCACGTGTCTTGACCGCCGGCCGGCCGTCTAGCGCTCCTCACTCTTTGTGCTTTGTATGTCTTATGGCTTTTACCTCTTACCCTCGGCCACCCCGCACTCATCAGGCCAGAATGTCCTGGGTTGGCTATTTTTTCAGCTTGTCCCCATTCTTAACTACCACACATGTAACTGGGGACCAGAGCACCTTTGTACATTGCACTTTGCAACGGCTACTTTCAGCGATAGCAAACGGTAGGCGGTGCTGGAAGAAATCACCTCTTAAAACCTCCGGCGGCGCTTTCTCGCATCACACTACCCATCATGCTCAGGGTAAAAAGTGTGCCCCTACTCCCGAAGCTCATGTTTCCGAGGTGCACCTCTGGAAGGCGACTGGACCACAGAGCACGAACTCAGGCGTGGGCAGCCCCGACGAGCCCCCCGCTTCCTGCAGCCCGGCCTCCTCTGCCTCCCCACCCGCGCTGAACAGCTGCCCCCCGTGGGGGCTGGCCGGCCTGCTCCACCGAGAGCCAGCGCAGGCCTTTCTGCCTTTAGCTGTGGGTGTCGGGGAGGACAGTGTCGTGGCCAACCGGCTGCCTGCGCCACAATGCATGACCTCTTCTTTACCAGATTATTGAACAACATGGTTTGCTACACATCCTGCTTAATCACCCCCTGAGCCCCCACTCCCAGCACTGCCGCCTTTTTCACCCCACTCTGCATTTCCTTCCTTTCCCTGATAACTATCTCTGGCCTTTGTGCTTCCTGAAAGCTCCATTAATTATGCACAGTGGAGAGCAATGAATCAATGTGCTAGGAAAATCTTACTGCATTCACTTAATAATGTACCAGTGAGTCTGCATCTGCTGCTGCTACACGTGGCTTGTGGTAGCGCGCACCAAGCGGGCATGTGACTTTCTTGGAAAAGACAAAGCAGCCGCAACAGCAGGAATATGTCATCTCTTTATAGAAAAGCAAAGACAGGAGCTTTTACTTCCTTCTTTGTATAACATATTTGTCTGAATCTTTTTAGTGTTTCAAAATCAACCGGGTGAGACCTTCCAAAGTGTTAAGCTGAAGAGGAAACATTTAATCTCTGGCCTGAACCCACTAAATGTGACACAATTTAAGGTGAAAATGTTTCACAATGGAACCCTGCAAGTAGGGATAACATACGTAGAGAAAGCTGATGTTTTGTGGCGACACACAGCGCTGTGACAATATGCATCAATTTACCTAGAAGGTTGGCCTTGAAAGAGTAAGTTCCTCGGAGCAGGTGGCCAACACACCTGGGAC